ACCATCTACACAGACCACAAGAGCCTAAGACACATCATGGATCAGCCGAACCTGAACATGAGACAGCGCAGATGGTTAGATGTAGTCAATGACTACGATTGTGAGATCCTTTACCACGCATGTAAAGCGAATGTGGTTGCGGACGCTCTGAGCCGCAAGTCAGCTGGATATTCTATTCCAGTGACATGCATGAGGATTTCAGTAGATTCTCCACTTGTGGGCTTGATCAGGGAAGCCCAGACTGTGGGTATGCGTCAGGAGAAATGGAAACTCGAGAGGATCAGGGGTGAGAACACCCGGTTTGTGTAGGATAGCCGGGGATTATTGACCCGTTGCGGTCGGGTCTGGGTTCCGATGTCTGGTGGGGCCAGACAGACTATATTGGAAGAGGCTCATAAGTCTCGCTTCTCTATTCACCCGGGGGCCACCAAAATGTACCGGGACTTGCGATTGAGTTACTGGTGGCCGTGCATGAAGCGAGAAATCTCTTAGTATGTTGAGAAGTGCTTGACCTGCAGGATGGTCAAGGTCGAGCACCAGAGGCCGCATGGCAAGCTACAGCCTCTGTAGATTCCCATGTGGAAATGGGAACAGATCACGATGGACTTCATCACCAAGCTACCGAGAACGATGAAGGGGTTCGACACTATTTGGGTCATCGTAGATCGATTGACCAAGAGTTCTCATTTTCTGCCCATTCGGGAGAGCTCGTCGGCCGAGAAGCTGGCTGACCTGTATATACGCGTGATTGTCACTCACCATGAGGTTCCGGTCTCTATCGTCTTAAACTGTGATGTTCGGTTTACCTCCCGATTTTGGCAGAAGTTCCACGAGAACTAGGCACACGGCTGCACTGCAGTACAACCTATCATCCGCAGACGGACGGCCAAAGCGAGCGGACTATACAGACTCTTGAGGACATGTTGAGAGCATGTGTTATTGACTTCGGTGGGAGCTGTGACTCCTACCTACCCCTTACAGAGTTCTCCTACAACAACAGCTTTCACTCTAGCATTGGTGCTCCACCATATTAGCTGTTGTATGGGCGGAGATGTCGCACCCCATTCTGTTGGGGTGAGGTGGGTCACAGGGTGATGGGTCGGACCGAGGTAGTCCTGTAGACTACCGATATGATTCAGCAGATTAGACAGCGGCTGTAGACCGCACAGATTCGGTAGAAGAGCTACGCCGACCAACGCCAATCTGCGTCGAAGTTTCAGGTCGGTGACATTGTACTCCTGAAGGTCTCACCCTGGAAGGGTGTGATCCGCTTCAGGAAGAGGGGGAAATTGGGTCCCCGATACATTGGGCCATTCATGGTCATTATCAGGGTTGGCAAGGTAGCTTACATACTAGATCTTCCTGAGGAGCTCAGTCAGATCCACAGTACCTTACACGTTTCACAATTGCGGAAGTGCGTTCTGGACAAGGAGACGGTGGTGTCATTAGATGATATTCAGCTCGATGAGCACCTGAACTACGTAGAGAGGCCAGTGGCCATTCTGGAAAGGAAGGTGAAGGTTCTGCGGAACAAGGAAGTGCCTTTGGTAAAGGTACAATGGGAGCACCGGAGGGGATCTGAGTGGACTTGGGAGCCGGAGGCTGAGATGCAGGAGCATTATCCGGAGTTGTTTGCTGCAGCAGACTTCGGGGACGAAGTCTAGCTCAAGTGGGGGAGAGTTGTAACAACCCGACTCCCAGGTATATATCTTTACAGTTTTATGTCCATATCAGAAGATCTACTCGACGAGTTGGTGCTTAGACTCGACGAGTAGGGACGCGTTTGGCCACGTGGTTTAAGTGACCAACTCGACGATTCGGTGAACCCGACTCGGCGAGTTAGAGCTGGAATGAGAAACCCTAATCCCCGGGGTTTTGCACCCTATTTAAAGGATCCTTTGCCCCCTTAGCCTCCCCTTACAGCCCCTTTGTGAGTCCAGAAACCCTAAATCGCCGTTTTTCTCTCTTTTTGTGTGATATTAAGCCTTGTGGTGAATTGTGGAAGGAAGATCTTGAAGTACTCAAGCTTGGAACAAGAGGAAGGATGTAGATCCGAGTTCTTTTTCATCTTAGCACCGTTTTTGAGGTAACAAGTTGTTACCTTGACCTTATTCTATCTAGATCTATGCATGTATGAGATTAGGGCCACTTTGGCAATGTTGATATGTTATTTTGGGTATTAGGCGTGATCTGAAGTTGCAACTTCAGATCTAGGCTTATCATGGTCTGTAAGATCATAAAGTTTCAGCCTTTAGTGAGTTAATACCTTCTTCATCCCTTAGAACCTTTCTTTAGCTTGAATTGGGCCATTATCACTTTGCATGTACGTAAAGTTTGCAACTTTACGTAAGAAGTATGCCTTAAGAGCTTAGATCTGCATTATGGAGCTTTAAAGTAGCTTAAAAATCGTCTGGATGGAGAAAGAACTGAAGGGACTCAACGAGTTGCATGGCCAACTCGGCGAGTCCGATGAAGATTGTCGTGCAAGGACTTCTGCATGGACTCAGCGAGTCAGTAGGGTGACTCGGCGAGTCAGCTAGGGTTTTCCCGACATTTGGACATGCATGAACTCGGCGAGTTGTAGGAAAACTCGACGAGTCAACAGGGGATTTCACGACTTCTCGAGTTCAGGAAGGACTCGACGAATCGGTGAACTGCACTCGATGAGTAGGGTCAACATGGAATGTTGACCTTGACCGTTGACCTAGACTTTGACCAAGGGTTGACTAGTTGACTTCTGGGGTATTTTGGTAAATTGGAAATTTATGGAAATGATTTTATGGTAAATATAGGTGGTGGAGTTTGTGGCCGTGGTTCGAGGGTTTGAGTTTATCACTTCGATTCCTCAGTTGAGAGGTGAGTTATCCTCACTATATTAACAGGGTCTAAGGCACCAATGACGGCCCTTATCGGATTAGTATCCGGATTTATTGCATGATATGTTTATTGATTTACATCCTGGTAGTTAGGATGGTGATATTCTTAGTGACCTGGTTAGGTCGGTATCCCGGTATATAGGATGATGCTATGTTAGTGACCGGTTAGGTCTGTGTCCTGGTTATAGGATGTTGCTATGATTGATGATCTGTTAGATCGGTTGCCTGTTATATATGCTAGCGTATGATATTATGTGCACATGTTTGTTCGATTGGGGATTGGGTTGAGGCGGTCCTGCTTTGTGCTGAAGGCCAACATACCCAGGGCGGTCCGGATAGACTACAGGCCCATGAGGGCTTGTTAGTCAGACTGAAGGCCCGACGAGCGGTCCGGATAGGCTGTAGACCCTGCGAGGCGGTCCAGACGTGTCAAATGCTCGGAGAGCGGTCCAGATAGGCTGAAGGCCTGCGAGGCGGTCCAGTCAGGCTGAAGGCTCATTATGCATGTTGTTCGTTTATATGTTATTGATATGTTTATGGCGTTGGTATTTTGGGGGTAACTCACTAAGCTTTCGAGCTTACATTTATCGGTTATTGTTTCAGGTACTTCGGATGATCGCGGGAAGGCGAAGGCGTGACCGTACACTTCTTCGATTTATGATTATGATTTCTGGGAACTCTGATATGATACTATTTTGAAAACGAAATGTAATAATTTAATGATTTTAAATGTTTTTAAAATTTCAAATTTGACATGATTTTTATGGTTGTTACATAATCGAAGGAAGCCACCTGACCCACAATACGCTCACTCTTCTGCCGCTCTTCCTTCATAGCCTCGACCTGAGCCTCACGAATCCGCTCCAAAAGTGGATTAATCACGGTCATCCTCAAACATATATCCCTGATCGGAGTCACGACCGCCTTGCGGCTGAGAGCATCGACCACCACGTTGACCTTCCCCGTGTGATAAAGGATCTCGCAATCATAATCGTTCACCACATCGAACCATCGACGCTGCCTCATATTCAGATTTGGTTGATCCATCACGTACCGTAGGCTCTTGTGATTCATGTAAATAGTACATCAGACCCCATAAAGGTAATGTCGCCAAATCTTGAGGGCGAAAACCGCGGCCCCCGATTCCAAATCATGAGTCGGATAATTCGTCTCATGAGGCTTCAGCTGCCTCGAAGCGTAAACGATCACGCGACTCCTCTGCATCAATACTGCTCCCAAACTCATGATCGACGCATCACAATAGGAGAGGTTCTTAGTTCTCAACCACCACCGATAGTAAATTCGTAGAGATAGAACCAGATCGTACAACTTTCACATTCAAGCAAAAGGAATGAGATTAACATCCCTACTTCTTTGGTTTAAAGTATCTACTCGGGAAGTCAGGCGAAGGAAAAAGACCATTTGGCTTGAGGTGGTGAGTAGAAAGGGGTCGATTATCTATCTATGACACATCAGATGAGTCAATTGCATCTACTATTACTTGATGAAAAGAATCCACCCTCAACTGAGAATCATGAGAAGCAGTACTGGTTGAAGGATCGGCAGAAATCTGTATGTGCTGAGAAGTCTTTTTATTATTTATTAAAATAAAAAGATAACAAAGTCCTCAACACCCTCCGGCAGCGTCAAAATTTGTGTCTCGCATAACCGTTGTCTCAAGGTCTCAAGAGCTGCCTGCTGCTTAGACCCCAGCGAAATGTAACCGTCTTCTTTGTCAACCGAGTCAAAGGAACAACTATCTTGGAGAAATCTTGGATAAACCTCCGATAATAACCTGCTACACCGAGGAAACTTCTAATTTCAGATGGAGACCTCGGAACCTCCCACCGCATCACGGCCTTCGGAGTTGTGTCTATTCAAATTTCAACAACCAACTACTTCTTGACTCTATTTATTTTACTTTTTTGTTTTCTAGATTCTACGTCGATTTTAATATTTATCGAGTATTAGGTCATAAAAATGTAAATTGAAATCAATTGCAGATTCATATTTTAGCACGGAAAACATTTAACTATTTAAGATAAATGTGAAAGAGAGTTAGAGAGATATTACTTAGCTAAAAGATAAAAAAACAAGATCAAAGAACAAGCCCACTCACTTAACAGGGGCTAACTTGTGTATTGTAATTAGTAATTACAGCATATTTTGAGGTTTGAAGAATGAATGATAATATAATATGGGCTAATTTGTGTATTCTAATTGGTAATTACTGTTGTTGTCATCTGTATCTGGTGTCTTCCATTCCATTGCCAAGTTATTCCTTTTTGAAGGTATTGTATGTATAATCAATCCACTGATTTGATGGGAGGTTCGAGTATACTACTAAACATGATCGTATTGGTGTTCGTTAGCACCAATGAGATTGTGACAGGTGGTATCGCAGGGATATGGGCAATCAACTTTTATAGAAACATTTCTTCCGAAGTACCAATCACCAACTGATTCCGCAATTGTCTGGATAATGTTTGAAAATGGATTAATAATTCATTAAAAGCAGATTTATACAACAATAACAAACAACAAATAAGAAACCTGATTATGCAATTGTGGGGAGTCGGGTGCAAACCATGTGTCTTGTGATTCACTTTGGCAGTGAGCGAAACATGAATTTATAAACGTTCCTCCTCCTCTTCTTGAATAGAACACGAATGACCTCAGAGCTGTAAGCATCTCAACCCTGAAAGCTAAACAAAATGAAAACATTCTAAGTAATTTGTATTAACTTTTTAAAACTAGTCTTTGTAGAAACAAATCAAGAACCTTGCAGAACGCTTATTTGGTTAGGAAGGCATTCTTTTGGATTCAGTTTGCAATGATTCCAATGTCCACGTGGATCAGCAGATGGTGGAACTAATATGTGGTGAAACTGTCACAAAACACATGTTAATTAGAATTCTTTCTTGCTTATATCAATTTAGCACAAGTGAAATATGGTGTCAGTAAGGCTAGGGTTATTTTCGATGATAATAAGTGTAATGATATATCTATCTTACTTGGTATACATCGTAGGCGGAGTTTAAGATGAAAACTGGAGGCGTTATGTACTTCAACAGATACTGAGGGAAGATGCACTGCCAATTAACAAATGTCAAAATAATTTTCAGTTTATGAAGAAAATCGAAAGAAAAGAAGAGAGTGTAAGCTATTAATGAACAATTACTTGTTTGGGATCAGTGATAGAAGTCGTGCAATTCTCATCCAGGTTCTGTTCTATTCCCTGTCAGAAAAAATACCTTTTATTGTTTCTGTTCTGTACAAAAATATCAAAGAAATGAATTTATTTACTATATTTTAAATTAGTTTGTTGGGGTACCTGTAGAGTGACAAGATGCTGAAAGAAAGTTCTCTGGGTGTGGTTCATGGTGATATCTGGTCTGCAACCCGAAAAGGCGAAAATCAAAAAGAATATATATATATATATATATATATATATATATATATATATATATATCAATTAATTAAAGCAAAACTTGGAATCCGGAAGTATTAATTAATATTTAATAAGTAAAAAGTAGTGTTATATATATAAGAACATACGAGTCCATGAAAAATCCAGCATCACCCAGACATTTGACAGTGGTGGTATTTGGTAGATAAGTGGTGAAGTTATTGCAATGCAAGTAGGATGCTAAACCCCCAGCTGAACACCCAGAAAGCAAAGCCTGGAAAATTTAAGTCAACATATATACAAAAAGTAATACTACTATAAATATTAAGATGATGAACTTCATTAATTATTGAGTAGATTTTGAATTGAGGTGTATTGTATTTGTATATACCTTGTTAGCAAACCTCATGCCTTTTGGCAGAAGATCTTCAATAATTGCTTTCCAAATCCGCTGCCCTCGGAAAAACAGAACTAATGTCTGTTTTTGAAGAAAATGTTAGAATGTTGGTATTATTAGCAGAAAGATTACAGTATGTATTTGTTAATGATAAGAAATAAGTGGTAAACAATGAAACTATTTAAGTCATATTTATTATTGTACCCCATTGTCAAACTTATTATCCCCAGCAAAAGATCCTCCATCGCAGTATCGAAGCTTCACACGATTCCAGTTGTAAAAATCTGCTTATCATAAATGAATTTGTCTCATGTAAGCATATGCTTATTGGTGTCTTCATAAATGTAGATAAGGAATATAATTAAAGATGATTTATGGTTTATTTTCATGTGTGAATTACTTTAGTTTGGGATATGGATAAGAATGAAAAAATTAATAGATATCTTGGTAAGCGAAAAAGTTTCACGGATTATATCTAAAAATAAAAAAATGCCACTTTTGGTTATGGAGTGGAAGATTAATATTAAAAAGTTGATGAACTACTACTATGTGTCGATGTAACTGAATCTACAGTTTGTAGCAAGTGTGTGGGTAGCACTATAAAAGGAAGATTTTGTAGGAGGCAGAAGTTGGCTGTTTGAATTTTGGCCCTAGATTTATTGTTTAATAAGTATACATTTATTATAGAATATAGTAAAAAGAAGATAGTTTGTCTGTGGTCCTTCTTGTGGTAGGTCACGCCCCATTTTGGTTATTTTTGCCTATCATTTCGCTGTACTCAAGAATGAAACATGTAATGTGTTTCAAGTGCATTCACATTAAGCCTCATGTTTATGGGACAAAAATTATAGTAATTTTAGTTGTCCAGTGTAACAAAAACGGTCTTAAAAAAACCAGTGACAATCATGTTAGGGACCTCGTTTTTCTTATTCATTAACTAATGTATGGATAAAGTGATTGAATGGGTAATGATAAAAGTGTATGCATAAGGTTTTTTTTCTACTCACAGAATAATTTACTCTTGCATTCCAATGAACAATTTTCAAAATTTTCATCAATTTTAACTTGAGAGAAGTTGAATGGAAAAAATAAGGACAACTAGGTCAAAGATTGGTGGCTTAGTACATTAAGCAAGTTTTTTGACTTAACCCATTGAGTCACTCCAGATTAAGTCAAAAAAACAATCATGTATTATCAATTACTATGTATTAGGTGTTAAAACTACAAAGCTGTGAAAAAGAACAGTGAGAAGTATAACATTGCAGTAAAAAGAACACTGATAACATTGCAGTTGACCATTGTCCATTAGATTCTGTAATGAAATATGACAGGAAGAAACAGAGTAATATAGGTAAATGACGTTGGTACCCTTCCATTTGTAACCCTACAATAGTGGAAGTTTAAGAAGGTAAGGGTAGTATTGAGTTTTCAGAGTGTCCAACCAGATAAAGGTGGGACAAAAGGCTTAGTGGAGGCAAGGTGAAAGCTGGAAGAGGAAAGGAAAAGAAATCCAGTAGCTGTCTACAATAATTAAACACGTGAATAGGACAAATAGAATTTGCGCGGGAGCACATGGTATGCTGCTTTATTTATGGTTGAATTAATTTACTTTTGGATTTCAAGAATTCTTAGAAAACTATATCAATATTGGATAAATTATTATATGATACAAAACTATATACTTTGTATTTCGTTGCTAGTTATTCTTTCTTTGAATTCTAGTTAATTACAATGTAGGAAAGAGTGAATAAACAACAGTGAGAGGCATTACCTTTTTATACTTATTTTTGAAACAAAAATGGTAAATCGGTCAAGCAATTTAAAAACAATTATACAAAATCATGATACGGTATTCAATTTAGGCATGAAACTGGCATGAGCTTTATAGGCCAGGTCCCACCATCCTTTGTGTCATTGGACATAATACATAATCCAAAAAAACATATATCTGCTATTTATATCTAAATATAATGTATATAAAAGCATATCATATCTTTTTTTTTTTTTTTCTATATCTTACCTTTTGGCATGGATGGACAAAATATTACTTTATTAAGTACTTATTTTTTAATATACTAAAAATGTGTTAGAATTTTGTTATTATAAAGCAAGTAGGAATGAAATATATCATTCTTTTTGTTAATTATTTTCTCATTCAATAGTTCAATGTGCATTAAACTTCAAATTGATTGTAGAGTAAAATACATAAAAATACAACCTATTATGCAACTATATTCGCAAAAACTCGTATATTATTATTTTTATTTAGAATAAGAAAACATTATCTTTTTACCAATCAATTTATCCAAATTTCAAGTAAAACCCTATTAATCAATATCATTTTAAATGAACTTACAATTGTGGCCAATGAGGGATGACATAGATGTTCAATGTTATTGTATTTTATCAAAAGGTAAAACTCGATAGAGATGTTATGTGGCTGGTGTGATATGGTTGGCGATCAAGTTTTACCTCATGATAAGTTATAAAATGTCAAATGGATGACAAAGACGACCCATGACATCAACCACATCACATTTAAATGCTACATCACTTAAATAAGAATGATTAATAGGTTTTTACTAAAAATTTGGATAAATTTGGTAGATAAATATAAGACGTGTCTAATGTTTTTAATAAAATAATATAAGAGTTTTTTCATATATAGATGAATAATAGGTCCTCGTTTTCAGTATTTTACCTTTATTGCATGACAATTTATCATTCCGTATGATTGAATTTAATCTATTCTAGAAAGACAAAACTTTAAACTTCCATCCATGTACCATATTGTAATGGTCCCTCACTTAATAAAGTCGGTTTTTTTGTTTTCCATAATCCTAGTAACGTCTAGAGTTTATTGGGACCATCATTTATTTTGTTTTTGTTATCAAGGAAACGAAAGTCTAGAGTTGAAGTTTACAAACATCTTAATCATATCCATTAATACAAAAGCATTGGATGATAAAAACAAGTTAAAAGTAACAAGAAAATTAGGAAAACAACATTACCAGGATTGTGAACGGGGTTATCACTGAGAATGCCAGAGAATGTCTCTAATTTGTTCATTAGTCTTGTTGATCCACGACGGGTTTTAGCTCTCTCTGCACATGTTTCGATATCATTACACCACCCACCACCCTATCATTACCATTTCAAACCACTAATTATCATTATTATAAACATATAATGGACCCCACAAACGAAACTCTTGTTCGATATGCAACGTTATATTTGTATCAATGGAACAAAAATGTAATAACTACTTAATAAAGTAGTTTCCCTTACAATAATGATGAATTCAATACGAATCATAAATTTCGGAAAAGTAATCCATACATTTATGGATTTAAAGTTAGTGCTTGGTTATTATGTTTTTGCTTAAAAACCCATCAATCTGCATAAGTCATTTCAAGAAAGAGAGAAACGTACATCTTTCCCTAACTTGGTTATATATGGGGTCATTGTATTTTTGTTCTTTACAAAATCTCAAACTAAAATACTAATCATCTATAAATTATTACTCCATAAAGACAAGATTACATAAACAGTCCCACTCGTTTCCGAATTTGTTAGGATGGTCCCTGACTTTTTTTCTTGACGGGAATAATTTGTATGGTTTCAATTTTTTGCATAGTTGGTCATTTATCCATATAAAATGACTTTTATACCCTTTTAATTATCTTTTACTTTATTTATTTAATTACAATCTATGTTGATATTAAACTACAATAGGCCCACCATACCCATCCCACCTCACCCTACCCATCTCCCTTCTTCTCCTTTTATCTTATCTCCTCCTATTCTCTTTCCCATCACCACAACCACCATCAAAATCCCATACACGCCACACAATCCCCTCAAAATTCTCTAAAAAGTTGATAAGAAGTTTTTTCGAAGTAGGTAGTCGACGTGGGGAAGATCAAGCTTCTACTGCCATATCAAGCTCCCACTAACAAAGGGGAGTGATCGACATAGCTGAGGGAGTCGGCACATTGAGCTTCCACTACTACATCAAGAACGAAATATGATAACTGAAGGAGGTGGAGGAAGGGTTCAACATCAAGCGTGGTGGCGATGGTGTTATGTTTTGATGTCGTTGAATATGGATCAATAAAGGAGATTCTGTTGTAAAATACGACGGATCCAAATTGACTTAAATAATATTAGCTCAATGCGGAATGGGATCAAAAGTTATCAAAGCGTAATAATCACAACGTAATACAAATAAAATAAATAGAATAGAGACACAGTAATTTACGTGGAAACCCAAATCGGGAAAAAACCACGGGCGGAGGAAGCCGAGAAACAATTCACTATAATTTGCAGTGTTTACAGGGATTATGAAAGAGATTACAAATAGAGTGGGAGAGCTAAAATACACGGTGGTGTATAAGTATATATATTTAATGCTTTTCTATATATACTTTGATTTTGGTTCGTGTGTTTATGATGAAAATGGCTTAGGCTATTTATAGCCAAGAATATCACACGTGAAGAGAAGAAAAATGTGCCGTCCAAAATTGTAGGCGCCTAATATTTTACCACCGTCCATTCTTCATTCAAATTCACATATATATTACTATAATATTAACCACCGTCCATTCTCATTTCCAAATTCACACTTATATTACTATTCATAGTCAAACTATGAATAGTAAATGATAAGTTACGGAAATAACCCCTGAACTATTTGCCACTTGCTAATTTTGGAGGTAACTTTTCCACAATCTCCACCTTGACATCAAAATTAAGCAAGTCATGCTTTACGATTAGTCAAAACCTATAGCTCTTCAAACTCTACAACTTCCATAAGAACCTGCAATTTTATATAGAGAAAAAATTGTTTCCGAAAAAATAAATAATACTTCCTCCACCTACGAGCCTTCAGGCTCAACTGCGATCAGAAACACCCACCATGTCCAAACATAATTTGAACTTGGCTATAGGAAGACTTTTAGTGAACATATCAGCGGGATTATAATCTGTATGAATCTTGTCCACAACACAATCGCCTTTTTCAATGATATCCCGCACAAAATGATAATGAATATCAATATGCTTTGTTCGGTCATGAAACATTTGATCTTTACTCAAGAAGATAGCACTCTGGTTGTCACAGAAAACTGTGGTCACCTTTATTCTATCATCGAGTTCTCCAAATAACCCTTTCAACCAGATATCTTCCTTAACTGCTTCTGTAATCGCCATGTACTCTGCCTCGGTAGAAGACAGGGCAACTGTAGACTGTAACTGGGCTTTCCAACTAACAGCACAACCATTTAGAGTAAACACATACCCTGTAATTGATCTTCGTTTATCCAAATCTTTGCCATAATCTAAATCAACATATCCGAACACCCCAGTGTTAGATTTATCAAAACGTAAACACATAGAAGACGTACCGCGTAAATAACGAAAAATCCATTGTACTGCTTTCCAGTGTTCTTTCCCCGGGTTCGCCATGTATCTACTAACCATGCTAACAGCATAAGCCAAATCAGGGCGCGTGCAGATCATAGCATACATCAAAGATCCAACAGCACTAGAGTATGGAACACGTGCCATGTAAGCCATATCAGTCTCATTAGTAGGACTCAAAGCGGATGATAGCTTGAAATGAGCTGCAAAAGGTGTGTTGACAGACTTTGCTTCGTGCATACTGAAGCGTCTTAGGACTTTCTCAATATAACTTTTCTGAGAAAGATGCAAGATCCTAGACTTCCTGTCACGAATAATTTCCATACCTAAAATCTTTTTGGCAGCTCCTAAGTCCTTCATTTCAAATTCAGCTTTCAACTGGTCTTTTAACTTCTGAATCTCCTTCATATCTTTTGCTGCAATCAACATGTCATCCACGTACAAGAGTAAGTAGATCTTTGAACCATTGTCACCTTTCTTAAAATAAACGCAGCTATCATAGGTGCACCTGCTGAATTTGTGACTGGTCATGAAAGAATCGAACCTCTTGTACCATTGTCTAGGAGACTGCTTGAGGCCATAAAGAGATTTGTTCAACTTGCATACGTAGTTCTCCTTTCCAGGAACTACAAAACCTTCAGGTTGTTGCATAAAAATCTCTTCCTCAAGCTCACCATTTAGGAAAGTTGTAGTGACATCAAGTTGTTCTAACTCAAAATCGTTAGAAGCAACCAACCCCAACAACACACGAATGGAAGTATGTTTGACAACTGGGGAATAAATGTCAGTGTAATCAATACCAGGAATCTGACTGTAGCCTTTAGCTACTAACCGAGCTTTGTATCTTGGTTTATCATTTGGGTTGACAGGTTCCTTGAGCTTGTAGACCCACTTGCATTTAACTGGTCTCTTCCCTTTCGGAATAGGAACTAAATTCCAAGTACTGTTTCGCTGCAAGGATTCCATCTCATTTTGCATAGCGAGCATCCAATCATTTGAGTCTTCAGATTTGATAGCCTCGTCATAATTTGCAGGCTCCGTTGCAGACTCAATATTATCAGCAACAATAAAAGCATAGGCAACCAAATCAGATTCAGCATACCTCTTCGGAGGAATAATCTGTCTTCTCGGTCTATCTCTTGCAATGCTTGGAGTAGTAGCTTGTGGTTGTGAAGGTGTTGAATCTTCACCAACAACATGCTCATCCGACGAAGAAAAATCTTGATGCTGATTTGTACTCTGATTAGTGGTAGGTGAAGTAGGAAGCTCCACCTCCATTTGAGCATTCTCTTTATTTGCTTCGGATGATACATCTGATGCATCTGTTCTTTTAGAAGAGTCAGCAACTGGTTGAATTATAGCAGACTCATCAAAAGTAACATCTCTTGAGATGATAATTTTCTTCAAATCAAAGCTCCATAACTTGTAACCCTTTACACCTTGATTGTACCCAAGAAAAACGCATTTGATTGCTCTTGGTTCTAGCTTCCCATTGTCAACTCGTGCATACGCTGGACATCCGAATGGTTTTAAATCTGAATAATTGGCAGGTTTACCGGACCATAACTCAAACGGAGTTTTCTTCTCGATTGCTCGTGACGGTGATCGGTTGATAACATAGCAAGCAGTCGAAGCAGCCTCCGCCCAAAAAGACTTTGGCAATTTGGAATTAGAAAGCATACACCGGACCTTCTCCATAATGGTGCGATTCATCCTTTCAGCTACACCATTTTGTTGAGGTGAATGGACTACTGTGCGATGTCGAGTAATGCCTTCCTTTTGACAATAGACATTAAACTCTTCTGAGCAAAACTCAAGTCCATTATCCGTACGAAGATACTTTACCACCAGACCTGATTGCTTTTCAACCTGAACTTTCCAATTTCTGAAGGTAGAGAAAACGTCTCCTTTATTTTTAAGAAGAAAGACCACACCTTCCTGGAGAAATCATCAATAATAGTGAGCATATAAATAGCTCCACCTTTTGAAGCAACTCGAGCCGGTCCCCACAAATCCGAGTGAACATAATCAAGTGGTCCTTTCGTTGTATGGATACCACTTGCAAACCTCACTCGTTTTGCCTTGCCATATACACAGTCTTCACAGAAATCCAAATCAACAATCTTTTGTTGACCAAGTAAACCTCTTCGACTCAATTCTGACATGCCTTGAAAACTCATATGGCCGAGTCGAAGGTGCCAAAGACGGGACTGATCTGGATCAGAAAAAGACTTTGACACAACAGCAGCATCACTCGAAATTGTTTGCCCGTCAAGAAAGTAAAGATCTGAGGTTTTTCGTTCGGCTCTCAGTTTGTCGGAACCGTCTTTGAATACCCTGAGAACTCCACCTTTACCAGCAAACTCGTATCCCTTTTTGTCAAAGGAACTGAGAGATAACAAGTTTCTTCTGAGGTCAGGAACATATCTAACATCCCCCATGGTTCGAATAACTCCGTCAAACATACGGATCCTGACTGAACCATGTCCAAGAACTGGACATGTAGTATTGTTACCCATCAACACATAGCCCTGGTTAACCTTTTCAAATGTGTAAAACCAACTTTTGTTGTGACACATATGAAAAGTACAACCAGAGTCGAGTATCCAATCACCAGTGGAATCCAGTTTATCTGAATAAACTGTCAAAAGTTCTCCAATACCTTCGACCTCAGCTAGATCGGCTTCACCCGAAGTGCTAGCTTGTTTACCATTTGCTGCCGTCTTCTCTTTTTCTTTGTTCTTCAACTTGAAGCATTCTTCAAGCACATGTCCCTTCTTGTGACAATAGTTGCAAAACTTTCGTTTGCCTTTTGACTTGGATCTGGTTCTGTTGGAAGATTGAGAAGTTCTACTTCTCTCTGTTGTTCTTCCTCTGGCATTCAAACCTTCGGCTTTAGCATCACTTGAACCACCACCAGTAATATGCTTCATCTTCTCTTTGGAATCCAAAGCTGTATAGACTTCATCTAAAACTAGAGTGTCACGGCTATAGATAATAGTATCACGAAAATGGCTATAGGATTCTGGCAACGACGATAGTAAGAATAGAGCCAAGTCTTCATCTTCATACTGAACATCCATATTCTCTAAGTTATTTACTAACTCTTTAAATGTGGATATATGTTCAGCTAAAGAGCCTCCTTCAATCATCTTGAGATTGAACAACCGTTGCTTCAAATGCAACTTGTTTGGTAAGCTCTTGGTCATCAACAGTTGTTCCAACTTTAGCCATAAAGAAGCCGCTGACGTTTCTTTTAGAACATCTTGCAAAACATCGTTTGACAAGTGCAAACGAATCTGGGATAAAGCCTTCAGATCTTTCATCTCCTTTTCTTCTTCGGTCCATGTATCGGGCATCATATTGAAACCCAAGAGCGCCTTGTGTAAATCCATCTGAATGAGAATGTCTCTCATCTTTACTTGCCACAACGGAAATCGGGTGTTACGATCCAGTAGTGGAATATCGTATTTTACCGAAGACATGATTAATTACTTGATAAAATGATCCCAACGAGCTAATATCACAATCTGGATGCTCTGATACCAATTGTTGTAAAATACGACGGATCCAAATTGACTTAAATAATATTAGCTCAATGCGGAATGGGATCAAAAATTATCAAAGCGTAATAATCACAACGTAATACGAATAAAATAAATAGAATAGAGACACAGTAATTTACGTGGAAACCCAAATCGGGAAAAAACCACGGGCGGAGGAAGCCGAGAAACAATTCACTATAATTTGCAGTGTTTACAGAGATTATGAAAGAGATTACAAATAGAGTGGGAGAGCTAAAATACACGGTGGTGTATAAGTATATATATTTAATGCTTTTCTATATATACTTTGATTTTGGTTCGTGTGTTTATGATGAAAATGGCTTAGGCTATTTATAGCCAAGAATATCACACGTGAAGAGAAGAAAAATGTGCCGTCCAAAATTGTAGGCGCCTAATATTTGACCACCGTCCATTCTTCATTCAAATTCACATATATATTACTATAATATTAACCACCGTCCATTCTCATTTCCAAATTCACACTTATATTACTATTCATAGTCAAACTATGAATAGTAAATAATAAGTTACGGAAATAACCCCTGAACTATTTGCCACTTGCTAATTTTGGAGGTAACTTTTCCACAGATTCGTTTAAGGAGATTGTGTAAGGATTGGTTATAGGGTGTTGTGAGATTAATTAAAATTAGATATAGAATTATTTTAAAGGTATACAAATTATAAAAAATGATAATCTGTATTTAGTAAGGATATAATAGTAATTTTAAACCAAACGTGAAATAAAAAGAAGGTGTATGGACCAACTATCCAAGAACCTAAAACCATAAAGACCATCTTCATAAACATAAATATTAAAGACTAAATCTATGAATTTTTATAAAATACAAAGACCATTTATAAAAGTATGCCGATTATAAATTAGCAATGTGATTTAAATTCAATGTCTTACAAGTCATAATTTCAAAAAAAAAGTAAATAAATAAAACACTAATTTTCAATATTTTTAACATAACTTTTTCTATTTAAAAAAATGACATGAGTCACGACCAAAAAGTTTGTCAAATATTGATATTTTTTTAGAAGAAATAATTTTTTGTCTTTTTTGCTAAAAAAATTCAAATACCCAAAGATTACCAATAAAAAAAAAGAAAAAAAAACTAGTGTTTTTTATTTAAAAAGGAAAATTATTAGGTTTAACAAGGATAAATCGAAAAATATAAAATGTTTTACAATATTAACCCAAATTATTATGATACGTTCAAAAAACCAAAGACTGTAACTCTAAATGAAGGTAGGAGCAGAAGTTCTTATTTTACTGGAAAGAAACATGTATATCAAATGCAATTTACAAATTTTAAGCAACAAACACATGACTTGTTTGTTTTATAATTTTCTAGCAACAAACAAGTAACTTGGTTTATTTTTACATATCAGTAACAAACCTTTGTACATTGTATAATATGATATGAAAAAGACAAGTTTGAATTTTAAAAATTAGTGTTAAAACATTGATTTGATAATTGCCCATCAATACCATATTGTTACCAGTTGATTTATTATTTCTCAGGTACATCATGTTGTTTTATTTTGTAGAGCAAATTCATCAACAATGAGCTACAGCTACAGCCTACTAAATAATATATTAACTATATAATTGATCTTGTCATGATTAGGTACATCATGTCGTTGTGGTTGTATGAGGAAGCATCTACAAGATGGGTAGGTTGAAAGCATGTGACTAATGATATGTGAATTGATGTGTTTAATTTATTTTATTTAAACTATTACAATAAAAAATTTAAGCAATAAATTTCTTTATCTTGTCAAACATTTATTCCGTATAAAACATAAAACATTTGAATACACACAACTACATATGTAATTTAATTTAATATATTTCTAACTTAATTTAATATATTTTTCTGATCATACTTATGAGTTTTTGACTTCTTGATTTTAAGTGCAAGGAGAAAAAGGGAAGGGGGGAAATTAAAGGGACAAAAGATTTGTTTGTTTTTTCTCTCAATATTTTTTTCCAATTTATTTAGGAAAGAAAATTATAAAAAGTGGAAGATTTAGTAATTCTGTAATTATTTTTTATAACGACAAAATTGTCCCTTTATTATCTTACCATAATTACAATTATCAAATATTTATGACACATACACACACATCTGTGTTACGTCTTTCTCTCTCCTCACAAACACGCACATACACATGTGCATAACAGACATACACACGCAGAAAGCAATACGCTAAACCTTTTCTGTGTCTTAAACTCTTAATCACAATTACAAACCAGCCAACATAGCTCCGCTTGCAGCTATATATTTTTCTATAAAATACATAAAACCATTTTTATATTGAATTTGCATATACTCTTCAAAACATCATAAATGATACACATGATTGTTTTAACTTTCTTACTTCTACTTTTGACCATTTAGTGATCATCAAGTTATAGTCAATTACTGTAAAGTTAATTCTGGAAAAAGTAGAGTAACGCTAAACAACTTCAAACAAGAAAAACATAGATCGCATCGACACACAAAACAAAAAACAAAAAAAAAAAAAACAACACTCAAACTGAAACCTACTCATATTCGAGTTATCACGACAAAAAGTATTAAAAAAATCGAGAAATATGAGGTGGCATTTGGCAAAAGATCTGGAAAAATGCAAAAGAGCAAAAGAACAAAAAGTGGAAGTACCTCAAATTGCAAAAGCCAGTTGCGAGCTCCGGCGCCGAATCCTCTATGTATATGATAAGCTGGTAAACTACCGTCCAAGCAATCTACACACACAGGCACAGATTCATCATTCCAAAAATACGTAAAACACCTTTAAAAGTTCAAATTCAAATATAATAATAAAAAAATGATCACATGTAAACAGAGATTTCATTATAATTTTGGTATTGATATATATATATATATATATATATATATATATATATATATTATATATATATATATATAATATATATATATATTATATATATATATATAAGTAAAATAACATATATACATACAAGCTCCAAGCACCGTAGTGCTGCGAACCACGGTCATGTTCACCAGAAGGCGATCATCGGAAGAAACAGACGTTCCGGCGCATGTTAGCATGGCGATGACGACTAACACAATCGTAACAACCAGCTCCATTTCAGTAAGCTTCTCGATCAACTGTTTTCGATACTAATGAAAGATTTAAAGTGAAAACAAGAAAAACGAAATCCTAACTGTATCTTATATAAATCTCATTGTCGTTTCAGCGCCAGAAAAAAAAAATCGAATTCGGCGCGTTTTTTCTGATACGAAAACAAAATCACTCTCAACAAAATTGGAATAATCGTATCTTCTATGTATTATAAAAAATTCCAAATGATTTATGAGAAAGAAAAGACAAGAAGAAAGACAATAAAGACGAAGAATCAATTTACAGAGAGAGAGAGAGAGAGAGAGAGAGAGAGAGAGAGAGAGAGAGAGAGAGAGAGAGAGAGAGAGAGAGAGAGAGAGAGAGAGAGAGAGAGAGAGAGAGAGAGAGAGATGAAGAATGAAGAATGAAGAGGAAGGTTTCGGTTTCGAATCTGGGAGATGGGCGGGGACTGGGAAGAGTGAGTTGACGGAAAAGAGAGGCCCCACCGAGTAGAGCGTGGGCCCCACAGTGAATGGATGGGTGAGTGGGGCGGGCCCACGGTCTAGCTTACAGCCCAGTTGATGAAAATTATGAAAGGAAAGTCAAAAATTGAGTACCTGGTTTTGTTGTTGTTATCTTGTTCCGTTTGGTGGTTTGCCTAACAAATTGACAACCAGTCCTTTTATTTTGTGCCTTCGTGGGTGTTATGTGTTTTCAAATGGAATATACCTTATTAGTTATTACTAATTATATACGATGATAAATACAATTTAATTTAATGTTCAAATATTTAGGTATTAATTTTCATTATTTAAGACCAGATATTTACTTTCTTATTCGTTACAGCGCAATTTATTATTAGGAGGTAAATAAATTAATATATTTTGCTTTCCTTTTAAACCAATTTAAGAGATTTGTATCATCTAATTCATGAAAGATTGAAGAGAAAATTCGGATAATAACCAAAAAAGAAGATTGTTTTGAAGAAAATAATCAAGAAAAATTAAATTTTGGAAAATGACCACAGGATCCGTAGAGCACCCTCTGCGGAACCATTAAATGCTCTGCGGATCCTCTGCGGAATTGCTGTTTTTTTATTTTTTTTATTTTTTTTTCGATTTTTCGTTTTTTTTGCGTTTATTTTCGTTTATTAATATTAATTTTTTTTAAATGCACTAATACCTTATGTGATTATGTAAATAATTTGACAAAAAAGGTTAAAAATAATGAACTTATGTTTGATATCGGTCCACAGAACTCTTTGCGAATCTACCCTCTGCGGATCCATTAAAGCCCATGCGGATCCAGCTACAGCTCTGCGGAATGTTGGTTTTTTAATTTTTTTTCGTTTTTTTTGCGTTCACTTTCGTTTATTAATATATTTTTTTAAAATACACTTATACCTTATGTGATTATTATGTAAAAAAATTGACAAAAAAAGGTTAAAAATAATGAAATGTTTTATTAATGGTTTTACAAACGGCGGATGGTTGCAGGTATGATTATATTTAATTTTAAATTATGTGATAAATGTCATATATAATAATATATGTTTGTTTTAACAGAAAAAAGTACAACAATACTAACGAAGTGGACTGAAGATATGGTTAAAAAAATAAAGAGGGGATTCAAGGATGGTCGGTATCCGGTATTGACAATACAACATATCAAGTGCATGACTTCAAAAACAGCGACATAGTGAATTTGAGGGAAAAGACTTGTTCTTGCAGATATTGGCAACTAACTGGTTTGCCATGTGGTCATGTGATAATGGTTTTAACGCACTTGAAAAATGATCATTGTGGGCATATGGCTATAGATGCTTATAAAATTGAAACATATCGAAGAACGTACCCGTATACCCTCTTTCAGAACTTAGTGATTGGGAGGTTCCAGATGACCTTATGGTTGTTAACCTTCCTGTGATGGAAATACGTCAATCCGGTAGACCAAAAAACACCAATCGTATTTCATCTCAAGGTGATGAACCAAAAATAAGAAGGTGTACTAGATGTCATAGCACAACTCATAATGATATGACGTGTAAGGAAATCGTTCCAAAGAACCAAAGTAAAACTAAAAAACGTATCGGGGCGTCAGGGAGCGGGACAAAAGCGACAGAAGAGGAACCGACGCAAGCGACCGAAAACCAATGGCAGCATGAGCCAGAGAACCAATGGACGCAACATACCGAACAACAATGGCAGCAGCAGCCAAACAACCAATGGACACAACAGATCGAACATCAATGACAGTAGCATCCAGACAACCAATGGACACAACAGACCGAACATCAATGGCAGCAGCATCCAGGCAACCAATGGACACAACAGACCGAACATCAATGGCAGCAGGAGCCACATAACCAATGGGCGCAAGAGACCGTATACCAACCGCAGGAAGAGCCACATAACCAATGGCAGGGTTGCATCGAGTACCAATGGCAGCAAGAGCCAGATAACCAATGGACGCAAGAGACAGTAAACCTAGGGACACAAGCAACAGATAACCCATGGACGGAATACGAAAACATATCAAAGTTTCTGTGGTTCGATTTGAATGAATGAAGTTTATTTCAAAGTATGTTTATTATGAAGGTTGTATGTTTATGTTTTCTATGAAGGTTGTATGTTTATGTTTTCTATGAATGTTGTATGTTTATGTTTTCTAAGGTATGTTTTGTAACCTATAAAAAACATGAAATATTTATATAATTTTAATTAGGTTATTTATATGCACTGGTTTGTATTACGTTATTTATAAGTACAAATACATGAAAACATACATAAGTAGCAAACGTATTACATAAAACATTTCATTATTTTTAACCTTTTTTGTCAAATTTTTTACATAATAATCACATAAGGTATAAGTGTATTTAAAAAAAAATATATTAATAAACGAAAATGAACGCAAAAAAAACAAAAAAAAATTAAAAAACCAACATTCCGCAGAGCTGTAGCTGGATCCGCAGGGGCTTTAATGGATCCGCAGAGGGTAGATTCCCAAAGAATTATGTGGACTGATATCAAACATAAGTTCATTATTTTAAACTTTTTTTGTCAAATTATTTACATAATCACATAAGGTATTAGTGTATTTAAAAAAATTAATATTAATAAACGAAAATGAACACAAAAAAAAAACGAAAAAACGAAAAAAAAAAAATTAAAAAAATCAAAAAACAGCAATTCCGCAGAGCTATAGAGGATCCGCAGAGCATTTAATGGTTCCGCAGAGGGTGCTCTGCGGATCCTGTGGTCATTTTCCAAAATTTGATTTTCCTTGGTTATTTTCTTCAAACCAATCTCATTTTTTGGTTATTGTCCGAATTTTCTCAAGATTGAAATGTATCTTCTTTTTCAAAAGAATGTCATGTTATTTTTCTTATTCATTATATCTGGATGCTAATAAATTATAAATACACTAACAATCGATATTTGATAGGGTGTTATTCGTCTATACCAATCTTAACAATAAAATTTATAATCTCAACATACAACTATCATGTATTAGATCATCTATAACCCAACTTTATTTTTTATATTTAAAAAAGTATTAAAAAAAATAATGCAAATAATGTTTCATTTGCAATCTTACATCATTTTTTTGCACCAAAAATATCCTAGAGGCCAGATGGATTGTCAAAAACACTTATTAGTCTTTTTATATATTTATTTATTTTTATTTGTCATAAAAACTTTATAAAATATTATTACAAAAAAAGTTATTATATTTATATTATACCTAATCATGTTTAATAAAATGAAAATAAATTATTTAATAAATATAAAACTTAGAATATTATACTCATGATTAATAAAGTAAAATAATAAACATAATTTATGATAGAATAAAAGTAACACATGAAACAATTGACATCATTTTGGTGCATATTTCTAGGAGTGTTCACTATTTGGATAAAACTAAATTGTCCAATTGGACAATTTTTGATCAGACTATTTGGTTCGGATATTTGAATTTTTGGATTGGTTTTAAGCAAAACCGAATTATTATTTTGGATTTCGGATTGGTTTTGATTTATAAAATAAAAATCGAATAGTCCAAAAAAACCGAATTGCAATTTATTATTTTGTTCTTTTTAATATATATCTATAATATTTTATAAATTTACTAAATAATTATCTTAGTATATTAAATTTTTTCATCTATTATAATACTTTAATATGTACTTCTTATAAAAAAAATTGTCTATAAAGTAGTAAACTATAATATATTTTTCTTGATAGTTATTTATAAGTTTTAATTCACAACTAATTAAACAATATTTTTTAGTTTACATTATAGAGTATGTTAATACTAAAGTTATATATTTGTTGAAATGTCTTAATTCTTGAAAACCGAATTGTAAAAAACCGATCCAACCGAATTATAATTTGGTTGGATCGGATCAGATTTGAATTTAGTTTGGACTATTTGGATCTACGTTTTGAAAACCGAAATTAATTTGGATTCACTTGATCGGATCGGATTAAACCGATCCATCCAAACGAACACCCCTACATATTTCCAAAATCTAGTATTAGTACCATCCCTCACCCTTTTTTACTCCTAACAAGTGTTAACATTGTTAACAAAGGTATTGATATTACTAACTACTATTCTGTAAGATCTACGATATGCAAGTTGAAGATTTGTCTCATATTTTTATTAAATGTGAGATATCCACGACTATTTGGAGTTTCATTAAGAAATGATGTGATGTTTTACATTCCTTTGTTTGTTGAGGTGGTTGATGTAATTCATTGGATTGATATGGTCCAATTGTCTGCCTCTAAAAGCAATCTTATTGAGACTATTATTATTATTAGGCGTGAGCATAGACAGATATCTGCCTAAATTAAGAGGAATCGGAACCGACGGTTCCTACAATGTTGGAACCGGAACCGGAACCGAAACCAGTTGTATCGGTTCCTAAAGATTTGGAACCACTCCCGAAACTGCCGGAACCGGTTTCAGTTCCGAATACCCGACGTCTTATTTTTAAGAAAATAGAAAATAATTACATTACGAAAAAAGTTATAACTTCATGGCTTACCTTTTAATTTATAAATATTATAAAAGGATGTTTAAAAGGAAAAAAAATCGTTGTGTATATCCTAAATTGTAGTAGGTTGTTTTTTTAGTTTATAATGACGTGTTTGGCACAGAGCATTTGGGAACGTTTGAGAGCTTCTAGCGTTTGATAAAACAATCTGTTTTGAATAGAAATTCTCGTTTAACACTACAAGCTTCTAGCGTTTAGTTTAAACAAAACGCTTCAAATCTAAATTTTACTTCACATAGCGT